CGCTGTAGGGGAACAGCTTCACACCATTTCGTAAAGTAATCAACCACGACCAGGATATACTTGTTTCCCCGTGGGGTCTCCCGTAAGGGTCCAATGATATCCACGCCAATTATTTCGTTGGGGTAACCAGCCTTCGTGTTAATAAGTGGCACCCTGGGTTTCCTCTGTTGGTTCTTTACTTTACCACATGTAGTACACCCCTGGACAAAATCTCGAACATCACGCCGTTGGCGGGGCCACCAGTAACGTTGGGTAACTGCTTGCAACATCTTATTAATCTCAGCGTGTCCCAAGTCGTAGTGTATGTTCTCCAGAATTGCAGTTATGAACGACTGAGGAACAACAACTCTTCTCAAGTAGTTAGGGCCTGGTTGAACGCACATGATGCCATTCACGAGCACTAGCTGGTCCCATAACGCCCACAAACATCTGGTCTCCCAACTTTTCCCTTTCACATCAGCTTCAACTGGCCTACCAGTCTGATTCAACAGGGCATGATATAGGAGTGCGGTTTCATTGTCTGCAGCTTGGATATGGGCCCACTGTTCTCTACTTAAACCTGCCAACGAAATAGCACAAATATCAATACTCTCGCAAGATGGGCAGTCTCCGTGCGGTCTGAAAGAGCGTCTAGATAACGCATCGGCATTGGCATGCCGCTTGCCAGGACGGTGAACACATTCAAAGTCATACTCCTGGAGGTATTCCTGCCATCTAGCTGTCTGTCCTTCAAGGTCCTTGAAGTTTTGCAACCACTGAAGGGCTTTGTGATCTGTCCGCAGAACAAACGGTTTGCCAAGGTGACAGCGGCTAACATTTCTTTGCGGGTGATGCAGTAGTTTTTCTCTGCACGACTCAATGTGCGGCTGCCATATTCGATAACATGTTCCTTGCCATCACTACCGACCTGGGATAATACGGCTCCGATGGATGTGTGGCTAGCGTCCGTATCTAAGATATGCTTACCAGCCGTTGGTGATGTATCCGGGAATGCTAAAATGGGCGCCGAGCATAATGAATCTTTCAGCTGCTGAAAAGCACGGTCACAATCTTCGGTCCAGACGAAGGGAATATTTTTTCTAGTCAAACTCGTTAGAGGGCTAGCGATCTCTGAGTGGTTTCTCACGAACCGGCTGTAATAAGAGGCCAACCCTAGAAAACTGTGTAACTCATTCGCGGATTTAGGTACGGGCCACTCTTTGACTGCTGCAACGTTTTCGGGATCGGTATGAATGCCCTGTGCGCTGGCAACGTGCCCCAAGAAAGTGACTTCTGTTCTGAATAAACGGCATTTAGCGGGTTGCACTTTGAGTCCCACTTCCTTCAAACGTTTCAAGACAATCCGCAGCCTCTCGAGGTGTTCTTCGATGGTGTGACTGAACACGATGATATCGTCTAAATATACGAGGCATACTTGTGGTACTAGTTCTTTAAGTACCGTGTGCATCAATCGTTGAAACGTTGCTGGTGCATTACTTAACCCGAAAGGCATGGTCTGGAATTCATACAAACCGGTGGGTATGGTAAAAGCAGTCTTTTGCCGATCACGAGGATGGACTTCCACCTGCCAATATCCAGACGCTAAATCAAGGGTGGAGAACCAGACGGTGCCTGATAATGCCTCTAATGTCTCGTCTATTCTAGGCAGTGGGTAAGCATCTTTGCGAGTCACTGCGTTTAATTTTCTGTAATCAACGGACAAGCGCAGGGAGCCATTTTTCTTCCTAACTAACACTATAGGTGAAGCCCACGGTGAGTTTGATGGCGCAATTATTTTTTTCTGCAGCATTTCGTCAATCATGCTTTCCAGCTGTGGACGGAACTTAACCGGAACTCGACGAGGTGGTTGTCGTATTGGAGCGCAAGTACCAGTTTCAATAGTGTGTTGAATAGCTGTGGTTCTCCCCAGGTCAGCTGGGGACCACGATACGACTTCCGAAAACTCTGAAATTAAGCGATGCACCGAATCTTTGTGTTCTCACAGAACATGTGTTAACATACTTTCCATCAGGGCGGCATCAACTGCATTCACACTCAACTGTAGATAGGTATTACTACTGTCTGATCCAAACAGTAATGTAGAACCTAGCAGGGTGATCGTTTGGGACTCAATATCAATGGAAGCGTTGCAGCTGCGTAGGAGGTCATAACCTAGTATCAAATCCCATGACAATCCATAAACTACTAAACACGGATGCCGTACACGATCATGGTTACCTTCCCACAATAGTGACAGCTCGCCAGCTACTCTCATGCGAGAGCCATTTGCCGCTTGGATGTTTAGGTGGGGGGTGGCAGTTTTGGCTATATTATTACAATGTTTGCTGGACAGCAATGTGCAAGCTGCACCTGTGTCTACCAAGCCAACGAGGGTTCTGTCATAAAATTTAACTAAAACAGCGGGCAAACGCTGGGCTACATATGGCTCGTTTGATACTTGCATAACATTAGGTAAAAACAAAGCAGACTCACCAACTTTTTCTGGGAAGCGAGAGTTCAACCAGCCCGCCCTTGGACGTAGTTGGTTTGGGGTTTGTCTTGCTTTCGGGAAAGGTCGAGACCTCCACTCTATAGGTCGTTTCGCATGATGCTCACAAGGTGGCGTCGATTCTTGATATTGTGGCGGAGTATAGGACCCTTCTGTTAATCGCCGATTCTTACGAAGCTTGATTAGAGCCTCCTTCTGTTTGGCAACCTGTAGGGCCTCCACGGGCGATGTAGGGTTAGTTTCAATGACCCTTTCTCTGACTTCGTCATGCAATAACCCTTCTGCGAACTGGTGGAGAATACGGGAGTTGATCTCGGTTGCTGTGTCTCCTTCGAAAGCCACGAGGGCCAACTCTTGAAGGCGCCAGAGGAATTCCTCTGTACTTTCGCCACTTTGCTGGACACATGCGTGGAATGCAGCCCGTTGCCCGAGAACATGGGTATGCGGCGCAAATGCTCGACGCATAGCTGTAAATAGTTCCTCCACTTCCATCGTCTTGTCAGTGTCGACGCCAGCTAGCTTGAGACGTTTTAATGTAGGTATCGATAATAAACAGATGATAGCACTAGCTCTTTGTTCTTCATCAAATTGTTGTATATAGCGACGACACTGTTCTTCCCACAATGTGAACGATTCCCCAGGAACAAAATTTCCCCGGTGGAGGAAATTTAACGTTCGGTTTGTTGCTGGAGGATGATGTAAGTGTATTAGGCGTCATCAATGCTTTTCTGAAGGCCGCGACCATTGCTTGGATCATATCCGGAGCAGGCGTGGAGGTAGACGTTGTTGTTGGGGTTGATGATCTCACCGGTGGTGCGCTGTTACAATATTCTGGATCAAGGGCGTTCGCGTTGTCAGGAGATTCGAGGTCATTAACTTCTCGCTTGAGTTTGCGCGAGTTGGGTCGGCTCGCCATGTTCTGTAATAGAGCAACACAAGCAATTGTACAGGTCAAGCACGCAGGGTAGAGCGGAGAAGCAGAACACGACTTGGGAAAAAGCACTTTATAATTGACACTGAATTACACCAACAGAAGTCCAAAAATTATGTACATGCAGGTACAAAGAGCTAGGCTATTACAGTTCAGCGTCCACCGGTTTTTGAACTGACGCTTTCTTTCAAATTTGAACCACTACAGAGCAACCGATTCGTTCCTTGCGCGCGGTCCAAGGTTGAGTTCTTTTCAATCTCAACTAACAACCACGATTTTCGTTGGATTCCTTATTTTCGGTGAACATATAATTTGATATGTTTTTAGGCCGCCACACCTTTTGGCACAATGTCCTGCTTCATAAAATAGTCAAGGTGGGTATTGGTGATGAATGGAGAATAACTGGGGCAGAAGGGAATTGTGTACCAAAATCAATCAAGTCTGATCAATATAATATGACCCGACCAAAGAATTTTTTCATATTTCAAACAAATAGCCTCAAGCCTTTTTGATTTGGTGACTCTGAACTACAGAAGCCCAAAACGAATCTACCTCTAGCGACCAATCAGTTTCGTAAGAAGTGAGTGATTTGAAATAAACGTCTATATACAAGCAATGCAATGTTAAGAAATGGAGACATAAGATAGTGTTCTTGTATATGTTCCAAAAAACCTCCTAATTTCTGACAGGAGTCCCATAGTCAGGTTAAACCGACATCTGTACAGAAATTATTCAAGGCCGTTTATTAGGAAGTTTCGATTTGGGCTGCCATAGTTGAGAGTTACCATCTGGGTCGGTCTGTTTTTCAGCTGTGTTCCTTCATACTTGGCAAAGTTCTACAATAGAGTCCCAAGGAACGAACGCACAAGTGACCTTGAGCAGACCAGTCAGAAAAAAGGATGATTTTTGCATAAAATCTTACGTATATTTACATATAAAAGCATAAAAAACGTTAAACAGGATATTTTTCTCTAATATGAGATAAAAATATCTCCCAATTTTGTATTGGGGTTTCAGTTTTTAAGTTGAACCAATTTCTATACATGTATTCATCCAGATGACTAAAAATAACTTGGTTTTGAAAACCATTTATAGCTCTTATTCTATTTTTTAATCTTCCCCAGAAACCTTCGATGGAATTATTATGAGTACCGGTGACAGGGTCGACGGAATCATTCGAATGGTTCACTCTATGATGTATATATCCCAATTGTGATATTTGGCTATATTCCGCCCATTCATCTGTGTGAATGGTGGTGCCTGGTAACACTAGACGCTGAATAATAGGGAGGAGGAGTGTATGAGCACTCCTATCTAGAATCAGCTCCATAAACCCTTTGCGAATCTAGGTATCATAAATTCCTAAAACCCAAACGTTATTCGCTCTGGCACCCAGTAAGTGGACAGAAAGAAGATATTCAGGCAAAGTTAAACTTTCGACACCAATAACAACCAATCATCAAAGACAGTTTCAACTTTTCAAAGAAAGTTCCTAGAAGACAATTAATTCAGTGTCGCTTACCAGTATGCACAATTATTCGCGCTAGAATAATGGTGAGCTTCCTCAACCAATAACTAGAATGCGTTCAGGGTCATTGGAACATTTACAATCTTGGGACTCTATTGTTGAACTTCGCCTCATACTTTACAGTTGAAGCCACCCCAATCGTTATTTCAATGCATTCGCTCGATTGCATCACTATCTTTTAACTTAGCGTTGAAATGGAACACGCGTTACTTTGAAATGCATGCGGTACTTTTGCATCGAGGAAATGGTTTCTCCTACTGATTATAATGACATATTCTGTATTTGGACACCTCAGGCGTTTGTTTTACGTGCTGGTTTGTGTTCTAATATCTGTAGAACTGTATGCTCTGCTATACATACACATATTTCGAGAAACACATACATCTGTAAGTTTAGTCGTGTTGTACTTTATTTCCACACTTACAGGACTTTCATTTCGCTCAGGTATTAAACCAAACTCATGGAGCATCATTTTTGGGTGGGGATACTAACTGTCTCAGTCAAAACAAGCATTTATGGAGTGCGTATAACCGCACACATTCTGAAAACTGCAAAAAAGTATTCATAGACGTAGGATGCAAAGCGGTCAGTTACGATGGCTTCTCTCGCAGTTCTTGTCACAGCCAAGGTACGGTCCAGTGAGTTAATACTTTGAATATCCCTAGTTATTCTGTCTGATGTTCCCATACAGTGGAACAAGTCATTTTCTACATTATAGTTGCTTCTAAACAGCATAAATTTTTCTTCCGGTAGGGAATTTTATAGTACTTTCGAATCATTGTTAGGATGTTATCATGGAAACTGCTAACATGTGGGTAGTGAGTCGCGTCCATTAGATGGAAAATTCCACTCGATTAATTAGCGGTAATATTTCATTGTCTATTTATTCTGTAGCGCGCCAACGTTTTAAGTGTTACTGTTTTACGTTGGACAGCTCTGTGGCTTTTCATATTTCCCTTTGGTCTTGATGAATTTATAAGGATATTGAAGTACATTTTCTTTTCGTAACGGGGAACTGGAATTTGTCACGGTATGAACTATGACAGCTCAACCATTTATATAATTCGTTGTAAGGTCTCTGATTTCTGGAAATATCCTCACGTTTGTGTATTATCCCGCGGGAGTTTCACTGGAGGTTTACCTCAGAGGTATTTGAATAGTCTGATAAATTAATGTATAATCCCATACAGTTCCTAGTAGATTAAAAAATAATAAAAATGTGATGACACTACAGTAGAACCTAACCGTGAGAAGATAAGATAATTAAATAAACTTCTTGAAGATTATCAAGAGTGAATTCATATAAACTATATGGGTCACTTCTGATCAGTGTTAGCAATAGTAGACAACCGTGCCGTCTACACTAGCGAAGGGTTTCGTTATGATCAAGCATAACTCTTTGCGAACGCAATCTCACACCAGCTAATATCTCTCTTAGAAAGAAATTGAGTCAAGATGCGTAAAACGCCTATCTCATCTTAGTGGGTGGATCCTTTCTACTTTATCCATTTACTCGCCTTTTTTTAAGTAATAATACAAGTTATATCAACGTTAATTTTTTCGTAGTTTTATTTGATACATGTGACCAGAAACGTGTCTTCTTTCAATTTTCATGTCTCTTAAATGTAACCAGTAACGAAATGTAGTAATCATTGATAGTCACGGTATCGTCCTGACATAAAAAAGGCTCAAGTTGGCGGATACTGAATATATCTGTTGTGAAACTGCTGGCAACGAATCTATCGGTATTTCATTAAGTGAGTCTAGTAGTCAAAATGTTTGTTCATTTCTCTAACCCTAACCTAGAATTAGGTGCAGACCAATCCTGCAGCACCACCCTTTATCTAAAGAAGCAAAGCGCTTGCATAAAACATTCAGTTATTTGCTGAGGATAATTTGTAAATGCCTTCGCCTAATTTTAAAAAACAAGCATAAACGGACAATATTATTTTCAGTTAGTTCATCAGCCCTTAATCTAACATAGAAATATTTATATACACAAATTTTGTATGATTTTTAACCAGTGATTATGTGTGGGTTAAAATGTTAATTTTAAGGGCAGAAGCAACTGAAAAAATTTCAATAACAGAAATACTGGTTAACACAGGCGTCTATAAAAGTAGTGGAAACAGCATGATCATTTAAATGTATGGATGAATAAACTGGTTAAAAATCTTATGAAACCGGATGTCGCGAAATGTCAGCTATGAAACAGCATATGCAATAAAAGAATAAAAAGGTTGAAAAGCTCTAGCGACCCATGTATTTATTGAATTTACTTTGGCTAAGGTTGAGATAAAGGTGGAACAAGGTTCTTTGCATACATCGACGAGAGTTATTCCCTCCAATTTCCACAGCTCCAACTATGTGTATCATCCTCATATTTAGAATTCGTCATCTTTATCACCTAGAGCCTCGACTTGTAGCAAGTTAATTCCTGATAGCACCAAGTCAAACAATGTAACCTGCAGTATTACATGTATAATAAAATTAAATAAGCGCTGTCATTGAGGATTTTTGATGAATACTGTAACTGTTATCACTCGGAATGAAAAGTCCATAAGCTCCTACACTGCTACGTAGGCTTAAATAGAGTTCACTGATTGCCATAATATAGTTTACCGGTATTTGTTTACGGTTGAACGTTTATACAAAACCTCTCGATCCATAGGGTTGACTGCATCATTCGGACAAAAAAATATGTTAGGTTTCGTTCAGTACGTATTTCTTTTGAAGCCTAACAAAGAATGAAGGTCTGCACAATGTACTTCTCACAGAACTTGATACTTGACTGGTTTCCTCGAATAGATTTTCCCTAGTCAAACTGTCTTCATATGGCTATGGATCCGATTGTCTTAGACACTATTTCAGTCAACGTGATTTCCCTGTGACTGCCATACACAGATTTATCCTGCTCATGAACTTCAGTGAGCAATGTTTTGCATAAATATTGAAGAACTAACTTAGATTCCAATACACTAACTAGTTCCTTAACTACTCAAGCCAATAATTCCTCGCTAGCTGTGTTGTGAGTTAATGTTAACGACTATAAAACAATGCAGTTTTCCATGCTGATGATTTCTGTCTGTTTGCATAGTTTTATTCTATATTTTATTTCTGCGGTATATTATTAGTATTCCCTTGGGTCCCAAGCGAAACGTAGAGCTTCAACAGCACATTTCCATTTCATCTTGTTCTCTGTAGTCCTCTCTGACTGACTCCAAGATTTCCCACAGGCCCTCATCACGCACGATCTCTTCCGTGTCACACGACGCCCATTTCGTCATCTCCCATTCGGGTTTCTCTCGAGGGTCTGCCTAGTGTGCGATGTCACCCAACGGTCTCAGCATTTGTCCTATCCGTCTCCATTATCCTCGGCATGTTTTTTAGGTAATAAGTTCTTGATTGGCTCGTCCCAAGAGTTTCTTGTTGCTTATTCCTTCTGGCCATCTGATTTTTAGTATGGGGCGAAGGCAGCTATTGATCAAAATCTGCAGTAGCCTGTTGGAAATCCTCTTCGTTATGCTCCTAGTTTCTGTGCTACATAGAAGAACTGACTGAACATTTGTGTTGAAAACCCAAATCTTGTTCCTTACACTGAGTGCAGAAGATTTTCAAACTGATTTCAGATTGACGAAAGTCTGTCCCGCCTTTCTCATCCTGGTTTCAACATCATAATCGGTGCCGCCTGTAATTAAAACGATGCTGCCTAGGTAAGTAAAGGTGATCTCATTCAAATTTCTGTCGTTGATACTGGTTAGTTACCATCACCTCCGTCTTCTGTATGTTTACATGAAGTCTTTGCTGCTTATTCTGCTAACTTGTTAGTTTTTGCGTAAGTCTTCAAGTTCGTGTGACACTCAACATAAATCAGCTATCTAGAGTCTACTTATTGGTCGTCCAGCGTATTCCTGTCTTCCCACCCACCCCCACACAGTCTGACGCATTATCCAGTCCACCACAATTAGAAATATCATCGGTGATGGTTTAGGTTCATAAATTTTGTTCTGGGTAGCCGTTTTCTAGGAGGATTCTCTTCAGAGTGTTCAGCTCCTCGTCTATACGAGGCTACGGATTCTGTGGTTCATTGAACGGATTAGGTTTCGCTCTGTATACAGGGGCACCCAACTGTGAGAGTTAGTAAGTTGTCCGTCCCATGTTGGTTTTCTGTAGATGGATCTTTTTCGTATTCCATCTTGTTCACGTCTTGTTAATTGGAAAGAAATTTCTGTGTCGGATTCCTTCTCCAGTGTGAACTGAATTGCTGGATAGCAACTATTGAGGAAGTCCAAGATTTTATCCAAATTCTCCTCATTGTCGGAGATAATGGAGGTGTTGTCCACGTATCTGTTGTAAAACCCTAAGTTGTCAATCATTTTCTTTAGATGTTTGTTTTCTAGTTTTAACTTAAAAAAGTCTTCGAGCGACCGACCAAGTGGTGAGCCCATATCTATACCATTGTTTTGTCGATATATTTCTTTACTGAAAGAGAATTGGACGTTAAGGGTGCATCTCAATAGGAGTTCCTTCAAATATTCAGTGGGTATACCAATGTTTATCATCTCCTTTGAATCAATATTTTCACTAATATAGCATATTTTTTCGTTTAGTGAGACGTTTGTAAATAATGATACCACATCTGGTGAGAAAATGTTTTGATTGGGAACATTGACGTTTTCAATGGGATTGACAAAATCGAAGGAATCTCGGAGTGAGTGTCAGGAAATTTGCTTTCTAACTGGTTCTAATAGGTCTACTAGCCATTGGGCAGTACGACGATAAGGTGATTGGGTCGAAGTGATATGTCTCTCGTGCACTTTCAGTAATCCATGAAGTCGGGGTATATTTGAGCCAGATGGCCTCAGCTATTCGAAGGTTTCAGCATCGATGAATGATTCAGTTTTTAGTTTTCGTAGAGTACCTGTTAGTTTTTGTTCAACTTGCTGTCATGTTCTTTTCATTGGTTGGTTTTGTGAATTTGGACTCATCGGATAGGATGGTGAGCACTTTACTTATGTAGTCTCCACGATTTATGACTACGATTCCCCCAACTTTATCAGGGCGTATCAGAATGATCTCTTTGCTGTTTATTAATTCCTTTAGCTCTTGATAGTGTTTTTTGGTTGGTATCGACCTGCCATTTGGTTTAGCATATATAAACTTATGGCAGCTATCAAGGACTGATTTGAATTGTTGCAGGTTTTCTTCAAATGTTGGTAGCTGATCATATGTTTCATTTATCAGGTTTTCGAACTGAACCTGATACTTGATGGTTTCATGCGGAATTTCGGACCGGATTGAACTGTTGACAGTTCAGTGGTTGAGAGATTAAATAAGTATTTTTCTGGATTGTTTGGGAATAGACGTTCAGTATTACTCGTCGATTTCAGACTTTTAATTAGATTTGACTTGATCTTATCACATTGTTTCTGTGTGACTTCTTGGACCTTATTCCTTGAAGGATTGTCCTAGTTCTTGATCTAAATCACATGAACTGCATAAACTCGTAAGTCGACGTTTCGCTCTAGTTCAAGGACATGTGATTGGATGGAGTCAATGTTGTTCAGTGTATGTCGCCTGGTATTTGGATAGATATGATTGCGTCTGAGTGATTTCCAGGACATGTAGTATATGATTTAGATCAAGAACTACGAGAATCCTTCGAGGAATACGTCCACGAAGTCACACAGAAACAATGCGATAAGACCAAGTCACATCTAATTAATAGCCTCATCAATGTGTGTCTACCAATTCACCTGATCGTGTGGAGCTAGGTATGTTGGCCATACCCAGCGTTTGCAATCCAAACGTATCATCGAACACTTACCCTCATGGTTTTATAAAGAAGAAAAAAGACCCCCTCGAAGCTCTATTCTGGGACACCTGATCGAATCGGAACACCAATCAAACCCACAAAGTAACTTCAAAGTCATCCACAGAATAAGTGAGAATTTCTCTTAAGGAGTACGAATTAAAGATCTTCAAACTGCAGAAGCAATGGCAATTCACATATTAAAACCTGGACCCTGCATACAAAAGAAGTTTTTTCAGTCATCAAATTTACAGTGTACCTGTCCAATGTTCTTCCACCACACATGTTTCCTCACTGATGCCATGTGATGTCTTCGACTTTGATCTGGTTGGTACAGTGGTATCTTTCGTAGTCTTGTCTTTCATTTTATGTGTGTTGAACTTGAATTGTGGTCTATCTCCAGTTGCTTTGAATGCTATCAACTTGACCTTAAGGATTCCTTGCCCTGGACAAAGGTATAAGCCTACATCTGCTCCCCTTCTAGATTTCATGTCCAGCAGACTGTCTGCATTTTTGGTGTGTCCGTCAGATGAGATCCATGTCACTTTGTGTATATCTTTGTCCTTGTATACGCTATCTCCATTCACCAAATCATTGAGTTGAATGTTGCTGTCATTATGCTGGAGGAGATTGGTTCCCACTGCATGAGAGCTTTGATTGCTGTTGGTGATAAAACGATAGCTCCACAGTACATATTGAGGTATTATATTGTTTACATAACTGACGCTAGGGATGTACTGAAGTTTTTATTTTACTTGATATAAAGTCACTATTATCTCAATTTATTGTCCGTGCCTTACGTGAAATCATTTAAGTTTAGTCAACTGATGGAATTTCATGTTTTGAATTTCGGTTCTTTTCTACATAGGTATTCATTAGGTTCTCATTGCTTATAAATGCAAATGATAGATAGAATTAAACGGGAATAACGTAACCTTGATTCTGCACATAAACACAACTGAAACGCCTTTTAGTCCCCGAAGTTGTGTAAGTCATTTATTTGACCCTGTTTAGATAATTTAACCGTTGAGTTAGGTCTTTTTTATGATGGAATTCTTACAAACCATTATCTTGTCTTTGTATCATATTTTATTAGATTTCATAGAATTGTAAAGTATGTTGTGATTGATTTTACATTAAGTTTGACGTTAGTAGATAGAGTTGCCACCTGAAGGTTATTTTATTTTGCGCCAACTCGTATGTATTTCGCGTGGAATATCCTCGATGCTCAAATACGTCGTTTTCATTTGATGCTTAAAAACAATAGTCATTCACAATCAGCACGTTTTGTAGACCGTTTAAGTGTTTCACAATATCTGCATAAATTAAGTGATGATTTCTTTACTTTATTTTCAGGGAACTTAAGTAGGCAACCGTCTTTCGTAGGATGTTTCTTTGTCAGTTTCAGTGAACTTTCGAAGATGAAATCAAGTGAATACAAGCATATGAACGATTGTTTGAGTATATGCCGTTCACTTGGGGTAGCTTATTCCTGGATGGGTCCCAATCATTCCTGCTGGTGTCGTATGAATCTTCCTAATCGATCAGAAAATGTATCCGTCTCTCCATGTTCCATCAAATGTGCTTTCGACGAACAAAGTCTAACCCCTGAGAACTATCAACTTTGTCCTGATCCGGTTCCAGTCCGCATTTATGCAACTAGAGCGAATCCGCCTTATCATCCTACTCCTCGTAAGTTTCATTTTTCTTTCAATTGTTGCCATACTAGTAGAATTTCCTACTGTTTGTTGTCCAGTGATTTGTACAATGGCTGAGATTCTGTCTTGATGTTCAGATCAAAGTATGTGGTTGACTTAAAATAACCACCCCCTAGCCTTTGACTTGATGTCTAACCCGCTAGGTAGTGCATCTGTGTCTTCATGGATGCAAGTGACCAAAACCGGTCTGCATGCCATTCAATTCTTTCCGATTCTGGAGTCCATGTGCACCATAGGTTTGAGATCAGGGTTTTCTAGCTCCCCCCCCCTTAGGCAGACCTCCATATCCACCACTTCAGTGATCAGCGCCGAACATTCCTATCCGCCCTTTCACTTTTGTAGGAGTGCCTATCAGCAGTAAATAGGACTTACCTGACTGAAGCTATCAATGCATGACCACACGAGAGTATTTCGAGAGGGAGACCAGCGTTTATTTACACTTGGCCGTACCACGTCAATTAAAGGGGGTGGGCTTGCGTAGAAGTCAAACCAAGTATAACCATAGAATCCTTCTAAAAACCCGGCCATCCACTTGACTAGTCAAACCACATGTTGAGTGACGCATCGAGTCCGAAACAACAAGATTTGTCTACAATACCGTATTCATATTATGAAGTAGCAATGGCTGAATACCATAAAATGCACAATCACTGTGCGCCTGTGAGATACTTGTAACAATAGGAAAATCTGCACAGTCATCACGTATTTGAAATAACTTATAGTCTGGCGTTTTCTTTCCCGAAAGAATACACAAATATATATTAACAATGGAACAGTATCAATACAGATTTATTAACATTGGTGATTATCTCAATTTTCTTATATCCAAATATCATCCACCTACCATTATGCAATCATCCAAAGATCAAAGGTTCTCTCATTCCATTGTTATTGAGGTAAGTAGTATAAAGTTGGACACAAAAGAAAGAATAACAAAGAACAGATACAAAAGGAATCAGCACTGCCCCCCCCCCAAACCCAGCCTGCTTTCCCTTGACTACTTCCGAATAAGATGCAGATATGGTACAAATTATTCTTGCCACATCTGCATCCACTGTTCGGCTATATATCCTTAAAGGTTCTCACCTTTCCTCAATATCTTCTGAAACGCAAATTTTATGTTCATGATTCCCGACCGATAACTGCTACCTTACCGTGGTGGTCGGGCTTGAATGCCGCAGTGACCCAACAAGCTAAACTGTCTGGGACTCATGTCCCTGCAGGTCCTACCATGTCAGGAAGGTTGTTTGGATAGCGGTTAGACTAAAAGCAGTTACCATGGGGTACATGGGCTCCAGAATTCAATCGGATCAAATGGCGTATGAACCCATATGGGTCACCGGCAACCATGGGAACGCAGCTCCTGACGCTGCCCCGCTACCTTGCGGATTAGACTCCAAGTCAAAGACTCGGGGGGTGGTCCCTTAAGAAAACCACCTGCTTCGGTCTGGGCGCCCGGGCAGTATCTCAGCCCTCACACAATATTGTGTGGCGTATCTTTCTTGGTGCCATATTGTACCAAGTTTTTCTGCGTTTAAATAAATAAATAATGTTCATGATTATGAAATCCTTAAATATTTCCTCTTCCACTGGCTTCAAATCTTATGCCACGGTGTTTTCCTTATTGTGTTTGTTGAGGATAATATGCCGACGAGGATAGAATGAAATCGTGATTAATGCACACTGTATCTCAGTCAGATACGCCACTATTGTTGAAATTAGGGAGAACGCTGGCAACTCCAAATGCATAGGATTTTTGACCATTTTGTGTCATGGACAGCGGCTGAAAATTAACTAAGATCAGCGGTTGATAAGCTGCAGAGGTGACGTGAAGCTCATGAACTAGTGGATTAGGATCTACAGGAACACCTAAATTATTACAGATTCATTTAGGTTTAGCCAGAATACCAAATCAATCGGCTGATTTCAACATGGCTGTAATGTCTAAATTACCACTTTCGTGTTCAACAGATTGATCAGCATGACTCCAAGTACTCTTCGTATCTAAATGCGTTGATTTATTCGACATTCGAATAGGCAGTTATGCAGATGTAATTTCATTTAAAGAGGACACTTCAACAACAGATCGTGATTGTTGCTTGCGCCTTTCCACTTAGTTTCATCTGATGGCTAATCAGATGATTAATAGATGAGGTTACTCTCACTTGATTTCCTTCAGATACACCATTAATCTGATACACTTGAACTTGGCACTTCACCCTAGCAAGATGATGACTGGTCGGTACTTCCTTGACGTACTCTTGAGATGCACAATGTGATCAGTCGTGTAATTACTGGTATCCGAAATTTTACTGTTAAATAAAGGTCTAGCTTAGCTACATTTTCATTATCGAAGCGTACAAAACGCTTTCATCAAATATTTGTTTGCTTCTTGAGAAGCATTGGTTCAGTCTCTTCATTTTTCTTGCTGAAAACCGAAGATATAGTTGTATACCGATTACCGTAAGCAGAACTTATTTATTCTTGATAACTAGTTGTTGCTATCTGATGTCTTTTCAATGCTATTTTTTACATTTTCTGTCAGCACTGTTAGTTTTAAAACGTGTAAGTAGCCGAAATGTAGTCAGCTGAACCTACTAGTGATGCACTTTTTTTTCATGTGTTGCAAGGCTTTTATTATTCGCACCCAATATGATATCGAAGGTGATTTCACTTTGTATTTCGTTAGTTTTTCCATTAAATCTTATGTATTTAGGCATGTTTAAGTTTGTGTGATAAAAGTTTCAGAGTGGTTGACTATTCTATTACTTCTAGTATTCACTAGTGACTGAATTTTGTGTACACCTTGTATTTGTATTTGTGTACGTTTATTTATCAGTTGTAATTGTTTCAACAGCTGTATCACATTTGGCCTCACGCATAATGTATCCGATTACACCAGTAAAATGATTTATGGCTCATTTCATATTTTTGAGCCACAATTTGTGAACGACTACACTTTTTTCCTAAACGTAGTCTATGCAAATTTCATTTTAAATTCACTTTTTATGAAGTCTTGGGGAGTAGGTGGATAGTAGTAGATTTCAACCCTTTTTGTTTTTGTTACTTTTTAGTTCCTCTGAAATCTGGTCTTGTCGATCTGGTGTTAAAAAAACCAATTAGAATAGTCTACCTACTTGTGTGGAATGGTAGAAGTTGGCTGCATATCCGTCGAATGTTCAAGCTCATATATCACACTCGACATTATTATTACATCCATGTGGACGCGGTTAGTAATGATTGTCTAGAAATTACTTTTTCTTTAAATTCAGCAGTGATACAGGTTATTCATATGCATTTGTTCCATGTATATGGTGATTCCTATGATTGAGATATACGGTTTCTTATTTGAGATTATATTTACATGTTTTGTGGCGTGTGTTCGCATATCGAATGATCGGTGGGATTGAGATTTTGGTGTTTATTGTACCCTCCTTCTTGAACTGGGTATGGTCAGATTTGTGTGAATAACTGTGGAGAATTTGTTCTAACCCCTAGTTTGTACTAGGTATTATATGAATGTAGACTGAATTTGAGACTGAATTGTTAGTTATTCTGACGCTTTCCGTAATAACGTTGTTGTGTTTCAACTCAATTACCTGGAATAGCTTTTCCATGTACCAAGCTAAGAGGTACGCCCATCAAGTGAG